GGAGGACGAGGAGGGAGGAGGAGGGGAGGACGAGGATGAGGAGGAGGAGGAGGAGGAGGAGGAAGAGGAGGAGGAGAGGAGGAGGAGGGGGGGCGCCGCCGCGCCCTCTCTCCGCGGCACCGAAGGGGGCGCTGGCGCGCCTGGCCCGGCACGGGCCAGGCAGCTCGGCACAAGGAATGCGCTCCTTCGGGGGGCCGCCGTCGTCGCCGCCGCCACCATCGGCATGGTGAGGGCGAGGGGAGGCGGAGAAGGAGGAGGAGGAGGAGGAGGAGGAGGAGGAGGAGGAGGAGGAGGAGGAGGGAGGAGGGGGAGGAGGGGGATGAGCGAAGGGGGGAGAGGAGGAGGGGAGGAGCGAGGAGGAGGAGGAGGAGGATACTGGCGGATTACACAGCCTTGAGGGTGGCTGGCCCCTGTGCGAGTTGGCACCGTAAAGAGCGTTACTTCTCGGTGGTGTCTGATGCCCCGGTCGTGGGGGGATAAAAGAGGCGGCCGCCAACCGAGAGGGGCTCGCGTGCTGCCTCTGTCCGAGGGCGCCGAAAAGACGGCCACCTTTCGAGAGACACCTGTGACAGGTGGTGAGACCCTTTGGGAGTGGGTTTGCCTGCTCGGGCAAGCAATGGAGATGAACTGGTCGTCGGTTGGGCGAGTGCGCTGGGGTCTCCAGCGAGAGCCTCGGGTGGGAAGGCAGGTGGGATATCGGGTAGCGGAGAGGAGTGCGATGATGGAAGACACAGAGGTTGGGGGGTGAGATCGCAGAGGGAATGAGAACGAAAGAGAGACCGATAGAAAAAATCAGCAGCAGGAAGCACGCATCATACAGCGAAGACCGGAGCGAGAATGCACGAGAAGTTGGGGGCGGCGAAATCTAGTTCAGGGGCGCAGGGGTGCGTGCAACTCCCCGCCGGTGAGCCGAGCGGTTGATTGGACACAAGAGTGGGTTTCCCGCTGTCCAGGCGACTAGAAAAAAATATGAGAGAATGGCACGGGGGAGTAGACGCGAAGCTTGGACACCCGATTTGGGGCTGCAAGACATCAGTGCCACAAGTAACGCTACGCGAAGTCGCGCAAGGTGTGGGTGAGAATGTGGCGCAAGCTATTGCGCCCGGCCATCGCCCTTGTATCTTGGTTTGAGTGTTGGACGGCCCTGAAGGGCATTGCATGGGCTGACGAATGGGCGAGCCACACACACAAGTGTAAGGGTTGAGCGGCCTGTTGAGAGGCCACTGGAGGGCATTTCCTTGGGCGGAAACGTGGGCGAGACACATGCGTATTAGAATGTTGAACGGCCCTGAACGTCATTCCACTGGCGGATGCACGGGCGAGCCGCACACAACGTGGTAAATGCCACGGGGACGGCACGCCGTGACACGCTTTCGCGAGATGGAGGAGCCGGGCCGTGCCTGATGAAATGCCCTCCAGGTTCGATGGGAAGCCTGAAATGGTCTACTGTCACAACCGTTAGGACCGAATGCAAGATGGACGAGTGGCCCGACAAATGGAGTGAAAGCGGCAATGGGATCAACGGGCTTCAAATATGGAGCGGCACTGGCGGGTGCCCATCAATGGGGTAGCCGGATGTTCAAGGATGATGGGGCAACAGGCATGGAAGAAAGAGGCGGGAAAAGAAGAGGAGGGGGAGGAGGAGGAGGAGCAGGAGGAGAAGGATCAGGAGCAAGGCACGCAGCGAGAGAGAGAGAGAGGGAGAGAGAGAGAGAGAGAGAGAGAGAGAGAGAGAGAGAGAGAGAGAAAGGAAGAGAGGGAGAGAGAAAGAGAGAAAGAGAAAGAGAGGGAAAAGTAAGCAAGAACAGGGAGACAACAAGGGAAGCGGGACCACAGTGAGGCCGGGGAAGACGGGGAAGCAGTGGTGGAGAAACGGATGAGGGGGTGGCTGTGGCGCCCCAGCTTCCTGGCCTTTGAAGGCTAGTGATAAACGCTTGGTTCAAGATGACCGCGCGCATGGAAGCGGGCGAACAGATGAAGGTGTGGAGCGAATCTCAAAAGAAGGATGGGGGCGGGTAACAGGGAAGACATAATCAAGGACAAAGGAGGCAGGGACGGAAGCAAAAGTAAGCCGGCAGAGGATAATGGCGCACAGCAGAACCCCTTAAATGTCGCATCGCAGGCGCGTCTAAGGGATAGGAAATTAATCGATGTGCAAGCGTGAAGTACATCGCGTGGCATAGCAGCGTGGTGAGGAATGCCACTATAACGAAGACAGGATAGGGGGAGGAGGAGGAGGAGGAGGAGGAGGAGGAGGAGGAGGAGAAGGGAGGAGGAGGATACTGGCGGAATACACAGCCTTAGGGGTGGTTGGTCCCTGTGTGGCGTGGCGCCGTGAACGAAAGGGGCTGGTATGCTGCCCCTGTCCGAGGGGGCAGAAGAGGCGGCCACCATTCGAGAAATAGCTGTCGAGGGCCACTGCTTGGGCAAGCGAGGGGGATAGTAGAGTCGGAACTTGGGTGACTGCACTGGGGCCTCCAGCGAGAAACTGGGGGAGAGCGAGAGAATGTCGGGTAGGAGCGAGGGGTATGATGGTGGATAAGCCGATGACGGGGGACAGGGAGAGGGAGGGCGAGGCAAGACCAAAGAGGGAGAGAGAGAAAGGGAGCGAGACGAAGAAGTGAGGCGGTGTAGAAACTATACGATGGGAAGTAGGCGTATGAAGATGCCACAATATTAAGAACATTCAGTATGGACTGGTGGCTTAAGAAGATCAAATAGGAAGCGCGACTGTAATTCGCTGCTACCCAGCGGGGGGAAATTCGTTACATTTCCCCCCCTGGCAAACCGAAATTCGTGACATTTTCGTTGCTCCGCCCCGAGCCTACTACAAGTTTCGACTCCAAAGGTGCCCACGGAGGCGGACAAATCATGCCCCCCTTCGCTCTTGGGGAGCGCACGTGCCACGCAGGGCTCTCACCAGACGGGGATGGCCACCAAACATGTTTTCGCGCGCGCTGGGTTAATAAATCCTCTGGCGCGATTGCTCTGCCACGCATGCGTTAACAAGAGAATGCAGATAAGATGTGGTAAACTGTCGTGGTACATATGGAGGATTGTGCGGGTAGCCGGGTAGCAGGGGCAGGAGTAGCAAGAGGGATGGGAGATGGAGACGACCGGCGCTGGGGGAGGGCGCATGCAGAGAGATAGGAGGGGGCAGGGAGTTGGGAAGGAACTCGGGTTTGGGGAGGGCGGGGGCAGGCCGACAGGAGGGTGCAGGAAACGAGGAATGAGATCTGGCGACTGACGCGATGAGTGCGCGTCGGGATTGCGGGTGGGGTGTCCAACCAGGGATGAAGCGATGGCGAGGCCCTTTGTTGTTGCAATGGTCCCAGGTTGGCAACGCCGCCTCCTAGGAGGCACACCTGCGCCACGCCGACTGCCGGAGCAGCGTGAAATGCCTCTGCGAAGGCCACCCGGACGTAGTCTCTGCGGTGCGGGCGAGGCCGCTGTGGGGGGAAAACCTTAGGAACTCAAGGGCCTGTGTGCCGGCGGTGGCAAATGCACACAATGACTGCAGGGTATGTTTCGCGCCGCTCTGTAGACGCGCCCAAAAATTGGAGGCAACTGGGATACGATCGGGTCTCGACAGGGAACGCCGTGAAGCCAGCGTTTCGCGCGACCCCTCTCAATCTCCTCCCGTGGGGGCGTCCGAAGAATGGGGCAGTACAGGGTGGTGACGAA